GCGGGGCGGCGGCCGAGCGGGGAGCTGCGATGGGGCGGCGGCCGAGCGGGGAGCTGCGGCGGGGCGACGGCCGAGCGGGGAGCTTCGGCGGTACGGCGGCGAGCAGGAGGAAGAAGGGGGGAAATGAATTGAAGGGTGGTTGAGCAGTGGCGCGCGGCCGCGGTTTTTACATCTCCTGCCTCCAGAGATGTAAATTTGCACCGCGAGGTGTTGTATTTGAGATGTAAATTTATTTTTGCATGTGGACCATCTGTTGGAGAGCTGTTTTTTGCCTTAGAAGATCCAAAAGTTGGTTATTTTTAGCGTATGGACCGTCTATTGAAGATGTTGTAAGGTAATTGCTGTATTTATAAAGCGAACGAAAGCATGTTTTCGAGAGCTTTGCTCAAAGTGTACCACCACCAATTTAAGCAGTCGGCACCCACATGCATCCAAGTGACTAATATGTGCCTGCATTTATTCCAAGTTACTGCTACTTAATTTGTGGCAACATATGATGTCATGATCCATTCCGAGGCAGGGCTGTTTGTGTGATCTACGTACACTAGGTAGTAGTACCAGTATCTGGTCAGGATGTGACGTCCCGACGGCTCTGATCATATCTGACGGGGATGCATGCTAGCTACTCATTGCCTCGTTTGCCCTAGCATGCAGCCTAGCAAATAAGAGGTCCCGGAGTACGTACTACTGCAGAAGTCTATCAATATCTATGCATGCACGCCCCTGCAGCAAGCAAAGTGTAGCTGCAGCATCTCCATATTCATGTTTCTACAGAGGCCACGGAGTCGATCGTCAGAAGTCAAAGTCAAAGCCTTTCACCAGAATAACATATAGTGTATTTGAAATCCTAATGTAATTGCATGCAATTGGTCCAGGTAAAACCGTAAAAGTCCAGCGGCTGTTATCAGTTTCATATTTCATACCACTACGTTTGTAACATTTTGCATATCAAATGAACAAGAAAGCAGCAGCACTACTAGATCATCAAACCTCAAACCACACACACACTGGCTGCTGGGAATATATATATAGGGATACATATATGGTTCGAATTCTATAGAGGGAACAAAAGACATCAACAAATTAAACAAGCAGTGCTAATTGGTTCGATAACTCCTTTTTTCTGCACGTAAAATGGAGTAGACATAAACGATCTTCAGGACATTTCACAAGTCCAGTCTTCATCTTGGTGGATAAGTCTTCAGGTCATTTTATCTGCTCGGATGTTAACAAGCGCATTAGGGGGTGAAACAAAAGAGCTAACAAAAGAGCCAAGCTTAAACATAATGCATCGACCTCCTTAACTGCGCTACTCCAACCGTTCAGGTTTATAAGACCGGAAGTATTTTAAATAAACATCGACCCTTAATGTGATCACCAAAACATTGTTACACGTCACAAAAATATATCATTTGAAACTTCTTTTAAATGTGAATCCAATTATAAATTTCTTGTGGCATGTAAGATGTAAGTAACTAATATCCTGTTGATCAAATTAGTGGTCAATTTTTTTTCTAAAATACGTGTGGGCCTTATAAAAAAGTGAAATGATACTATTCACAAACTATAGCCGCCTTTAGCTAATATGGAAAATGCTGTTTTGTCTTCTTAATTAAAGTAAATTCAACTAGTTGGCAATGTATATGTTAAAATAACTGTCAGCTATTTTTAAAAGGAATGATCAAGAAGAGCCCAACTTTAAAATTAACAAAGTCATCAACCGACCAGAATTAAAGTGTCAGCTTTAAATCAGGACTAGAACTACAAACTCTATGTTTTCTAAATCTAAGCAGATACCCTGAGCGGTCCGATGTCTCCGCATTGGGACTCTTGCACAGATGGGGAGATCAAGGTTAAATGTTCCACCAACTTATAGACATCAGAAAATTCTGTCTACTCATATTGGCCATAGACAAAGTCCAATAATATTAGGTGCAATATATCGATTATTGTTACTAAAATATGGCTCAATGTACCATTTATAACAAATAAATGTTCCACCACAGAATTAGTGTACTCATTTTCTTGCAATAGGATATTATCACCAGTTAATTTATTTCTACTTTAGCACAAAATAAGTGTATGACAAATTAAATATGCCGGTCATGATCAGCTAGCTGTAGGTTGGCACATATAGAGTATAGAGAGTGCAGAGACAAAGATACGAGAGCCTTTTAGTACTTATGTTTTAGATCTTTCAACATTTTCCTTTTTCTAATCTTCAAGGGAACACTTGTGCATGCACGACATGAAATATCAACTATTGCACGTACGCATCCAGATCGACTCCAAAGTCATCTAGTACGGGAACACACTCTTTTTGCATCCAAGGTTATAGAGCAGTACATAAATTAAGATATAGAGTATGTTTTATTACCATGATCATGAGAGACGATATGCTGTTTCTTCGGTACTTATAAGAAAATAAAGCACCTAATTAAAGATGGAACGATCGATAAACTGAGTTACAAAATTGTTTCCTACATGTGCTACACGTACAGTTGCCTAAGAAATTGTTCATTGTATTTCTTTTCGGTCAGATAAATTGTTCATTGGAATGTGTGGGCAAAGCATGCACATACATGTACTAGCTAGTAATTTCACAGTGGTGTTCAACATGAAGCAATCAGAAACCGATGCAGTTCAAGCTAGCTGGGTTGAAAGTACACTCCTGATTAAGCTAGTATGTACACAGTGAATGAGCAAACCAACAGGAGCAGAGTGCAAACATAATTGTCCATCTCAAATAGTATTATATATATATTGCCTCTCTATGAAACCCCAAATTGGGCAAAAATAAACCAAGTTGGATTTGCATGCATGCATCGATCTCAGCGTATAATATACAGTAGCTTCCTGGTGTGAAAAAAGAGTACTAGTGTGTTTCCTATACCATATGAAATGAATGATCCAAGAAAATATATATAAATATGTGAGCGCAATAGAATACTGCATGAGCACAATGAAAAGTAATTAAACGGAAACCTAACAATTGAGCATGTGTGGCGAGGAAAGCCGAACCTGCCAAAGATCGATCGATGGATGTCGGATCGAACACCGGGCGCTACTGCGCGGCGGTGTGCCTCTCGTCCCCACCGGCCGTGCCAGGTTTCAAGAACTGTCCGCCGCTCAGCGGGCCGAGGCCGGACACCGGCCCGACGCCCATGGCTGATGTGTACCCGAAGTCGTAGCCGCCGCCGCTGCCGCCGTTCACGCCGAGTCTCGCGACAGCGCCCTCCCCCTCGTAGCTCCTGGCCAGCATCTGAACGGCCGCGAACTGGTCGTGCCCGAACCCAAGACCCGCGCCGATCGCCGTGGAGTGGCTGATGTTGATGAAGTTCTGCGTGCAGTTGGGCACCGTGTTGCCGATGAAATCCGCCATTGCCGGCGTCCCGTTGCAACCCACAGACGCCGAGACCGCCACCGCAGCAGCCGCCTAGATGCAAAACTGGAGAAGTTAAGACGAGCAAATTCGCGACATGTATAATAAGTTAATAACTACTACTAGAGAAATACACTTGATGCATTCTATCATGCATACATAATTACTACCTGGTACTTTGAGAGTTCGTATCTGGCGCGGGTGAGGTCCTGCTGGAGCTGGCGGAGCTGGTGCTGGAGGACGGAGATGACGCCGACGCAGCCGTAGACGGGGTCGCGGAGGCGCATGTCGGCCTCGTAGGCGAGCGAGTTCACCGCGTCCTCCCGCTGGTACGGGTTCAGCTCGTTGAGCAGCTTGGTGACGTTGCTGGCGCCGAAGACGCGGTGCACGTGAACGAACTTCTGCGGGTTGTCCGGCGGGAAGTAGGGCGCGAACACGCAGTCGGGCTGGCACTTGCGCCGGAGGAACTTGCAGGCCGCGCACGGCGAGCCCGTGCCGGCCGCCCCGGAGCTCGCGGCGCCGACCGCCGCCGCCGAGGATGCCATGGTGATCACGGAGCCTGGAAACGACGACGCCGATGAGGAGGCCATCGATCGATGGATGGGCCGGTCTAGCTTCCTGGCGAAGGAGATCCAAATCCCAAGCAAGAAAGAGAAGACAGACGGTCAGGGTGACGGTTTCCCTTCTGGAAAGTTTGGTATGGGAAATTGGAGCAGCAAAAGGAAATGGGGAAGGGGAATGGATCATAAATTTTATTCTTGCCATATCTGCACACACGCTGCCCAGATGGCATGAAGCTATTCTAAGAATGTGCAGATTATTCTTCGATACCTCTACAAAATTAGAAAAGCTTAACGTAACTGTACATATCTTGACAAAAATGGTCGAGACAAATCAGTAGAATTTATTTTGTTCACCGATTTATTCCAACCGTCCATGATCCTGATTTTAGTTTCCTTCTCGTCATGCTCTCGCCACGCCAAAGTGAGAGCATGCGCTTTGGCAAGGCTGTTGCGCACATGGGCTACTACTATCCCATCCAACAACGCAAGATCAATATAGAACAATAAGAGGCAGTGAGGCTGTGGGCATTTGCCCTTGATGGGATCAAAACACCATAAAAGACGTAGGATTAGTTAATAACCAGGCACCAAGAAAGAAGCACGAGGAAATCAAAGAATCAAAGAACTAAGAAAGAAAGAAGTCGGCGAGAAAGAAGAAGAACGTAGCAAAAGGGAGAGAAACTTAGGAACAAATTAAAGAAGGAAGCAAATGGATCCAAAGCCGGCGTACGGTGAGCGCCAGAGTAGAGTACGCACCCTTTCCGTGGGACGAAGTTTTCTGCTCACTTCGTGCAGCTGCCGCGCGCTGACCTGAATCACCTCTCTGCAACTTTTCCTCCTTCTCTCCTCGAGTCCAGCAAGCGGCTTCCTCCTCGTATTTGGCTAGCTGTTGCGTCCGAACTGGCCCTTTTATCTCTCTCTCTCTCTGATGTTCTCTAGCTAGCTAGTAGTTACTCCACTTGGCTGTTTGTTGTAGAGAAAGAATGGAGTATGAAAGTGACGACCAAAAGATGGTGCAAGCTGCG